CAAAACAAGTTCACAAAACAAGGTCATAAATACTTATTTACCAATACGTTTAAATTCATTTCATTCGCATTAATCATTTTATTCAGCTCGTGAGTATAAAGAACATTCATTTTGGGAATTAATCAATGAATTAAAAACAGCAAAACAAGTTCACAAAACAAGATCATAAATTTACCATTACGTTTAAATTCATTTCATTCACATAAATTTAGTCTGTGAGTATAAAGAACATTTATTAATCAATGGAAATAAATACAGCAAAACAAGTTCACAAAACGATCATAAATACTTATTTCCATTACGTTTAAATTCATTTTATTCGCATTAATTTAGTCGGTGAGTACAAAATTTATTTATTTACAATCAATATAAAGTTTAAAATTGCAGTTGCGAATAAAACATTAAATATTTATTATATAGACAAGCTAAATATGGAAAATGTGCACATTGTAAAGAAGATAACACGCAACCAGCATGGTGTCTGTCGTGTGACCTTGACAGAGCAACACAGTGGGCAATTGGAAATAAAGATATTGATGATTGCATGAAAACATTCCAACTTAGAACCCGTGCATATGAAGAAGCGATTGAATGGATTCCATTTAATAGATTATTTGATGTTAAAAAAATTGGTGAAGGAGGATTTGGTTCCGTATATTAAGCAACCTGGTTGGATGGCATACGAAAAGTTGAAAAAATCGATGACGGTTATAGTATCTACAAAAGAGCGCGTGAACCATCTAGCATCGTTGCACTCAAGACGTTGGCCAGTTCTAAAGATAACAATGATTTTTTAAAAGAAGTAAGTTAATTTATTGCTTTAATAATTTTTCTAATAGTTTATTGAGCTAATTGATTATTTAAACTTTAAGTTTAAAGGTCTTATGGCATGTAAATTAAATGCTAGTAAGCTTGAAATATATGGAATAACCCAAAACACAGAAACAAAAGATTACTTGATGGTCTTTCAGTATGCTGATAATGGAAGTCTTCATAAATATCTAAGAAAAAATTTTATCAGTCTTACATGGCAGACTAGATTACAAATACTTGAAGATTCTGCGCTAGAGTTATATCGTATTCATGAAATTGCAGGGTACATCCATGCAGATTTTCATTTTGCAAGATCAACGCACTAATAAAAATACACAATCCTATATCGCAGATTTGGGATTGTCTAGAAAGGTAGATGAGAAAGTTTCAACTGGCGAAATTTATGGAGTTATGCCCTATGTTGCTCCTGAAGTTTTATCAGGCGAACAGCAGTTTACACAGGCAGCAGATATTTATGGGTTTGGTATAATTATGGCAGAAATGTCGACTGGTCAAAGACCTTTTGATGGATGTGAATTTAATACTAAACTTGCGAAGGGTATTTGCAAAGGATTGCGACCAGAGTTTGCACCTGAAACTCCTAAATGCTATATTGAATTGGCTGAGAAATGCATGAGCTCTGATCCACTAAAACGGCCTAGTGCTTTTGATGTTGGTTATACAATAGGGGATTGGCTTCAAAAGATAACTAGTTTAGATAATGAAATTAAAGAGCAATTCTTAAATGCTGATAAAGTTACTAAATCATTGCCAATACCTAAGCATCCTAATGAAATGTACACTAGCAAAATTATTAGCACGAAACTAATTTCAAAGGCGATTAAAGGTATTTATTTTTTATTTCAACATATATATATAAATTATATTATTTATTTAAAATAATATATTATTTAGATTTGTCACAATATGATTTTGCTCAAATTAATCTTGATATTGATATGGAGCCTGATAACGAAAAAAGAATAATGGTTTCCGAGCCGGAACAAATCATTGATAGTGGGAGTAAGGCAGAAACCATGGCACAAATGTTCGTTGACACAGAACCGTTAGCTAATAGTGCGCTCGAAATAGTTGAGAGTGCCTCAGGAACCATCATCCCTGCTACTCAATTCCTCCCTGTATTTAGAGAAATAGGAGAGCTTGCTTCTGGACTCATAAAGCTGTATCAAGATGCCAAGTATAATAGAAGAGTTTGTGGCATGCTGATTATTAGAGTCCAAGATGCAGTATCTTCGATAAATAAATTAGAAGTTTATGCGAGAGATTTTCCTGATTTTACTTCATTTTTTACTAAAGAAAACAATATTACCTTACGAAATTTTAAATATGTCATGAAAAAAATTGAAAATTTCATAATAGAAATTCAGAATCTTAGTAATTTTCAAAAAATTATACAATCAAATTCTATCAGGCAAAATTTTGAAGAAATTACTACTGAATTCGATCGTCATATGGAATCATTAAATTTTGCACTTAACGTTGGTGCAAATTTACAATTAGCAGTAAATAGAAAAGAAAGTATTGCATTAAATGAAGATATGGAAGACATGAAAGAATTGATGCAAACCATGTCCAAATCAATACAAAATATTGAAGAGATCACGAAACGTAAGAATGCATTCGACAAACAAGAAATGCAAGATCTTATCGACGAAGATCTCATTAATAAAGCACTTTTAAAACCTGAAGATTTTACTACTCCAGAAGAAATTCGTGGGAAAGTTCAAAAATGGTATTACAAGCCTTATAACGAGATTAAAGTAGCACTTAAAGAAGTGGATACAGAAACTAATAAAAAGATTAAGAATCTTGAACTACAAATTGGTATCTTGAAAACTATTAATGAATCACGAGATATTATTCAATATTTTGGGCTTGTTACAATTAATAATAAAAAGTTTCTTGTTACTGAATGGGCTGAATATGGAAATCTTCGCGAATATTATCAAGCTAAAAATCCCAATATCATTACTAGAGCTAGATTTGCTTTAGAAATAGCATGTGGATTATGTTTCCTCGAAGCACTTCAAATCCATCACCATGATGTAAGGAGCGAAAATGTAATGATCGATGTTAATTTACGTGCAAAGCTTGCAAATTTTGGTTTAAGTCGTGGATTCACTAAAGAAACAAGAAGCATTGATTTTTCCATGGATTACGTTCGATATTTGGCACCCGAAAAAATCGATGATAAAAAAAATATGAAATATGATTCAAAATGTGAAGTGTTTAGGTAAGATTTGTGATTATTCATTTTATTAAAATAAGAATTTTATCTAATTTATATATATTTTATAGCTTTGGAATGCTTTTATGGGAAATTGCAGAACAGAAGGTTCCTTTTATAGATACTAACCTTACAATTCTTGCAATTAGTCAAAGAATATTGGATGACACGATGAGTTTAGAATTTTCAAGTAACGTACCAAATAAATGGAAAAAACTTGTATATGAAGGTATATTTTTTAAATTTATAAATTTGGTTTATTATAATGATCAATTACTTACGTAATTTATATCAATAAAAATTTTTTTTACAGCTACTAGTTATAAACCTATAGATCGTCCAAGTTTAAATGAAATGCGTAGGAGACTTAGAAATATAAACGAATCAATCAATACAAATAATAATAATGTTACAACACAATCAATTAATGACACATTTACATTAGAAGAAGCAATTAAACAGACAAAGAATAGAAATGGGTCTAAAGAGAAAGCTTGGGAAACAATTATTTCATTTGCTGAATCAAATGATTTTACAGCAATATATTGGAAAGGTTATTATCTTTATCATAAGCTAATTAATTTTTCTTATACTGATGAAGAACGAAATCAACTTGCAGCCGAATTATTTAAAGAAGCAGCAGATGGAGTGAATTATATGGAGGCGCAATATATGTATGCAGTGTGTGTCACTAAAACAGATCCAGAAATGGCTATAGAATATTTCAGAAAAGCTTCAGATCAAGGGCATGCGGTTTCGATGTATAATTTAGGATTAATATATTACTATGGTAAAAGAGTTGATAAAAATGAGGAAGAAGGCAAAAAATGGATGATAAAGGCGGCGCAAAAAAAGTTGGATGCATCTATTACTTTCTGCAAAAAACGTGAAATTAAGATTGATTAAAAAAAAAGATAGCAATATGAGATTTGTATAAACATAACATATCAGTATATAAATTGAAAAAAACTCATTTGATTACGAATAATGAAACCTATTTGTGGATATTGATTATATTGATCAATTTTTTCAAAAGGGGTAAAAAAAGTTAGTATCCTAACAAAAGCTTTACCGTTGCATTTATTTTATTATTAGTTAATGAATAAATTTTGACCCAATTCAGTTTCTTTATCTGTATTGATGGTTTAGCTTTAATTTTCAAAATAAGTTATATCGACTTTGGCTTCACTTAATCAATAATTCATGTAAATATTGTCTAGTTCTGAGTTTTTTTAAAATAATTTTTTGCTCTACAAAGCTGAAGTAGAAATTATACACTTGTTAAAATACAGATACATTAAAAGAAGATTTAAAGCAAAGAATATCGATTTGTAAAATTAATAAAGAAAAAGCTATATTTTATTTATATTAATTGCACGAGTGATTGAGAAATGTATTATATTAACATATATATGATATTAAAGGTGATCTGAAGCTAACTGAATTACATGTATTACATTGTCATGCTTTGTTTATTTATAGTCTTGGCATTTTATTATGATAATTTTTGATGGCAATATTGTAGATTTGAGTTTCAATAAAAATTATTAAAATTTTATTAAATTACTTTCTGATATAATACCGTATTCCTCCGAAAATATGCATCCTTTTTTTCTATAATGACTTGAATTTTAGTTGCTTATTTCTATTATATAGAGATGCTTATTTTCAGGTATATATGAATTGTAGGGTTGCTTACTTTCGGAGAATACGGTACTGGATTTTATAATCAAGCAATAAACTATTGCAAATTTTTATATAATTATGAGAAGAATTTTATATATTATGAAAAAGACTTAAGCTATTATGAAAAGTTGATTATCTTCGAATATAATTAATTCATTAAGATAGATCTGTAATTTAAAATTTTGGATGTAGTACCAATTAACATCTCGGTTAAGGTTAGCATTAGCTTAGTGGGTAGAGTTATACCGAGATTTTACAATTATTTTTTTTATTTTTTTTGTTAGTACGTGAAAGGTGATATCTTAAGTGAAAATTTGAGATTAATGTTGTTTTTTATACCAGGAACGGAGTGATGCAATCACGAAGTGTATGGTTACTATGGCATTTTTAATGGTGTACGTCCGCAAAAT